TCTCTCTCTCTCTCTCTCTCTCTCTCTCTCTCTCTCTCTCTCTCCAGTTCCATGAGGACTAGGTTCTAGGCCTGGCCATCCCAGCTTAGCTCTGTTCTCTCATTGTCCCTCTGGGACAGTGGGCTCAAGTGGGCATACTCTTCTCAAAGAAGCAGTGGCTCCTCAGGCCTGGGCTCAGAACTGGACAACTGTCACTTTGGCCTTGTTCTTTTTGCTACAGCATGTCATGTGGCCAAACTCAAAGTCAATGGATGGAAACTATTTTCTGCCTCTGTGGTGAATAGAATCTCAAAATTTATGGGAATAGACATGAGGGGCAAAGGCTAGTGACCCAAAAGGTGACCCACTGTGGTCCATAAGGAGCAGAGAACCCTCATCTCTCACCCTGAAACCGCAACACTCTCAAGGCGACCTTAGCCTTTCTCAGAATGTTACCAACTTAGGGACTGAGACGTAACCTAGGGCACCTGGAGGAGATTCCGGAATCTCAGAGCAGCTTTCTTAGAGCTCTAAAGCTATCCTTAGGAATGAGGGAGTTTCCTAGAGGACCCATGATCTCTTTCCATGGCCAGATCTTCAGTGAAAGAAACCTTTGTGGTGCCCTAAAACCCTGGTTTCCCACAGGAGGTACCAGGGAAACACACCCATTCATAACTGTGAAACCAAACCACAGACTCTTTCAAGCCAGGCATGTGAGGGAAGACACAGCCAGAAAAATGTGGTGGTGACCAGGCTCTGGACTGGTTTAGTGCCTTGATGCGGAGGAAGTGTTCTTTGCTAATGAATAACCTTGCCCAATTCGTTGTTGCCTGGGGTGCAACGTACATGTATTTCTGGTTTGAGCAGGTGCTATGAACAGCTGCAGAAATGAAGGGCAAGTAGATCCTGCTCCCCTGGTCTGTATAGTCCAGGCAGGAGAGAGCCAGGGGACTGGCTGGGGGTGGCAGGTGTGAGAAGAAAAGTGGACAGGCTCTCACCGGGGAGCATCTCCAGAAGCCTCATATCAAGGGGAGGGGACATCACTGAGGCACTCTGGGTAAAGGGAAGATGTCAGCTGAGATCTGGGCTCCCATGAAGAACTACGGGCATCTGGAGTTGAAGAGATGGTTAGAAGTGAGATGAGGCAGAAGGAAAGAGAGGAATTGGATTACAGCATACCATGAGTTGGGGCTTTATCTTGAAGCCAGGGGAGGATAGGAGAGTCCCAGAAAAGGAGCATAACTCTAACAGGGGTTCAGCAAGCCATGCTTGAGGGCCTGGGGTATGGGCTATTGGGATGGTAAGGGTCATTTGGTCTCCTGCACTCAAAAATAGCATGTTTCACCTGTAACTTGGAGTCTGCTACTCTTTCCATCCATCTTGATTCCAGCTTGCCTGGCAAAGGTCTGAGGCATAGGTATCAATTTTCTCAAGAGTAGCGGGGGGGGGGGGGTTTAGACCTGTGGGGGTTGCTGTGGTCCCCTCCACTGTGGTGCTCCTGAAAGATTTCACCAGGGCACTTTGGATAGAACTTGGGCCTCTCATTCATCTTTAGAAGCTAGCTGCCGTGGTCTGCGCCCTCACTATGGGAGGCTGGAGCACTGGAGTATGGGAAGGATGCCTGTGGTGGCTGGGCAGGCTGTGGAGCTTGTCTCTTATGGAGGAGGAGGGATGGGCTAGGGATGGGGCTCACCAGTTCAGAGTGTTTCCTGCTCACAGCTGACTGTGGCCACAGCTCCATGGTATCACACACACCCTCCCTGCATCTTTGGGCACCTCTGTTCACACACACACACACACACACACACACACACACACACACACACACACA